CGTTTTCCCAACCCAAAGCTCGAGGTATCTCTGCCCTCCACGGAAACCTCAGGTAAAGCCAGAGTAGCCAGCGGCACCACTCCCCTGAGCTGACAACTTCTTTCTCCTCTCTGAAGTATCAGTCATTTCCGTGTGCTAGCAACACGTACTGGGGAAAATTCCTAAAGAGAAAAACAAAAAAATCCAGCTCCTCAGTCCCCAACAGAGGCCATTCCTGCTTGCTCGTGTGCCAATTTGCCCAGCTATGCATGGGCAGAACCAGGAAAGGGAAAGTCCTTTAAGACTCTGATCATATTCTGAGGGCACCAGTATATGTTTTCTACATGGCCTGGGTGAGGACAGAGGCTGAGATGGAGGTTTGGGGCAGAACCTCTACCCCGGCCCCAGAGTAGCCCTAGGGCTGGAGGAGGCAGCCTTGGCCACCGGCTCCAGGGCACTGCCTGTGGGAGAAGTGGACTCAGCCGGGATGGATCTCACACTCAGGAGGTTTCCTCTGGAGAAGCCCGGAGCCCTTTCTGCCCCTCCCTGCAAGGGCAGCTGCGTGAGCAGCAACCTCCTGCCCTGCTCTCACCTGGCCCTGTGGTGTGAACAAGTTAAAAGTAAGGAATGTTTTTCTTCATTGCCTCTTGGAAGATTCAAGTTTGGAAATTAAAGTTTTTTTCTGCCCCCAACTGAAACATTCATTCCTACTTTATTATGGAAAATAACCCCAGTTTGGAGTCACAAAATGAGCTTGTAGTTGATACATCAGGCAACCAAACAAGAGAGCTTCGATATATGAGAGAAGCAAGCAATAAACATTTTGGTCTATCAGGAAAACTTCGTCTCAATTCCAATGCCCAGCCACTGAACTTTAAGGGAGCAAACGTGAATCTGCCCACGGCCGTGCTGTTGCTTTGAGGTGGACATGACATTGCCACTCTCCAAACCCTCCAGAAGCAAGTGCCACAGAAGCTGCAGCTGCCAAATCTGCAGCGTGTCGGAGTCTTTGCTGTGTGCTCGTGCCCTCCCCCAGTGCAGCTCCGGCTGCCTGGCTCTGCTCCTGCACTGCCGCTGTCCGATGGACTTCAGCTGCCAAAGACCCACGGCGCTCTGTGAGGCAGCGCCGGGCCCACGGTGCTGGTGACACCTTCCCTGTGCTCCGCCAGATCATTCTTGGCTAGCCCCACTGGCCTGTCTTCTTCCTTTTCTCTTTTAAGAAAAAGCAAATGTAGCAATATCACTTTGGGTTTCAACATTTAACCTAGTTTGTGTTTTAATCTCACTTTCGGGTATGTGAAAAATACATATTATATGATTGGCTTTTTGCAAATGTTACTTTTAATATTAGATGTGTATTGTTAGAAAATTATGCTGTATTAATTCTCTTTAATTCTGTGTTACATATAGTTTTAGGTTCTAACA